GCCCTGGGCCAAAGGCAGGCGCCAAACCACTGCGCCACCCAGGGATCCCCTCCTTCTTCTTATAATCATTTTGCATCCCATTGTCTCTTTTTCTCAGTGTGCTACTTCCCCCTTAATTATCCTCACCACTGCCTTTCCCCAACCAAAGTCAATTCCTACATTTTAGTTTTCCCACATGTTGCATTATTTTATTTTTCCCACTCACTTTCCAACCCCAGACACAATTATAAGAATTATTGAAATAGAAAATGGAATACACAGAATCTATTCTGGGCTTTTCCAATGTCTTGCTTGGTATTTTAGGGACATATTTTTATTCCATGGGAGTTAGATTAACCTATGACTGAGTAGATTGATCCAGGATCTCTGAGACACATCAAAAGTATGTGGGTAAGATAAAATGTAAACTGCTTATTTCTCAGCAAGGAAAGTAACAAGGAACAGGTGTTTTAGATGCTATGAGCACAACATTTCACAGCATTACACCAGATGTATATGGGCAGATTATCTGCAGAGCTGCCAAAAAGATGCACAAAGACACTTCCATCAAGGACTACAAACCGTGAGCTAATCTCTTTTAGCCAAGTTGCCAGACATGCATCTAGGGCCAAGAAAACTTGGTCTGATTTAACATAAACCATCATCCCTGTTTTCAAGGAAAATATGTTCTGTAGATCAGAAAGTAAATAATTTTATATAATATAATTATCTTGTGTATGTAAAATATATACCGTATTAATAATATAATATATAAAATATTACAATTATATAATTGTAGTCAATTACTTGGTTTCTTCTGGAACTTAAAGTGAAAAATACAGCCATTCATAAAGAGAAGGGAAATAGAGAAGATGAGCAGTGATGAGCAGAACTGTTACCAGAGTGATGCTATGGGCCATGAAAGGAGGTGAAAAAATTAGAGTGTCAGTCCTCCCCTTACAATTTATCAATGGTTTTCCATTTAAACTAAACTCACACATGGTTCTCCTGCCAAAAGGCTCCAATCCTCTGCCATTTGCCTCTCTCTTACATCTCATCTCTGTCTATTCTCACAGTTGCTCCCTACACTCCAATCATACTATATTTTGTATTTTGTTTTTGCTGATGTTTTTGTTCCTGTCTCAGGCTGCTGTGCTTCCTATTCCTTTTATCTAGGATTAACTCCCATGCATGCTGGCTCCTTCTTCTCATTACTCAGAACTCAGCTTAAAGAGTACTTGTCCTCTTAGCATCCAATCTACGGTAAGATTCTTCTAATCATTCTCTACCCTACTGGCTGGTGTTTCATTCCTTCCTTGTATCCCCTCCTCTGTTATTTGGTTATTTTCTGTTTCGTTATCTACTTCCTCCCACCAGAATATAGTTCCATGAGAGAGGAAGAGTCTTTGACTGTCTTACTTATTGTTGCATCTTCATTGACTGAAACAGTGAATGACAGTGTTTATTAATTATTAATAGAATTAATGTAGTAAAATGACATTAAGTTAGTGAGATCCTAAATCTGCCATATACGTGTTGGGTTTCTGGCTTCAGTTTCCGGCCACATGTGTTCCTATAATCATCCTCATTTTCTTTAAATTGATTTATACTTCTGTTCCTTGCCACCAGAGAACATCATGCACATGTGTATGACTTTGAGCAGAGGGCCATCTGCCACCACATCCTGCTGCTGGAGCCCTCTCCCACACAAGGCAAGTTCCATAGCTTCCGTTCATCCAGATTCCTGTTTTATTTTCAGTTCATTCTAATATCTGGCAACTCAGAGTCCTCCCTGTCCACTTCCACACTAGACTGAGCTTTCTGAAGTCCAGCCAGGATACAACTCTCGACTGGCCAATCCATTGGGAGAGGAATTCGGATAAATTTTGCTTTATCCCATGAAAAACACTTATTGGATTCAATTGTATCAAAAGTGACAGAATGATTGTGTGATATGGAAAATTCTGTAGTGAAACAACACTATGTTCACTGAGTTTCAAAGATTTGCTCTATTTGCTCATTACTGGGAAAATAGAAGACTTTGGTATTTCCATGGGTAACTGGGGAAGATGAAGATAATGCAGGGCTGGAACATGGTGCTGGCAATGAAAATAGAAAGGAAGAGACAGAAATGAGGACAGTGAGAATAAAATGTGACAAGGACCCTCGTTTTCATCTGAATCTCAGGGACAGGGGCACAGATGTTTCAATGATAATGCAGTATTACCAGCTTGAATGACTATAAATGCTTTATAACCACTGGCAAATAGACAAGAAGAGGATATAAAGCATGAAAGGCATTAATAGAGCCTATCATTTGATAAATAAAATAGCCAGATATACACTTAGTTGTACATATTAATTAATGTGGGAGTGGTCAGAGATGAAAGAATGGGTTTGATAATTTTACCTATCAGGACCCTCTCTGACTTCCATGAACTGATCTGACACTCTCAGACTGCAGCCTGTATTTTTTTAAATTTATTCATGATAGACAGAGAGAGAGAGAGAGAGAGAGGAGAGAGAGAGAGAGGCAGAGACACAGGCAGAGGGAGAAGTGGCTCCATACAGGGAGCCTGATGTGGGACTCGATACCAGGACTCCAGGATCACACCCTGGGCCAAAGGCAGGCACTGAACCGCTGAGCCACCCAGGGATCCCCTGCAGCCTGTATTTTTTTAAGATTTTATTTATTCACTGAGCGAGAGAGAGAGAGAGCCCTGGAGCACAAGGGAGCAGTGGGAAGACCAGAAGGAGAGGGAGAGAGAGAATCCCAAGTGGACTCCACTGAGCATGGAGCCTCCCATGGGGCTTGATCTTATGACCCTGAGATCATGACCTGAGCCAAAATCAAGAGACAGGGGCTTAAGCAACTGAGCCATCCAAGTGTCCCCTGGAGCTTATATTTTAACCTACAATCCTTAGTTTTGGTTACCAGGAAATAAAAAGCTAAGAAATGAAATAGAAGAGAAAATGCTCAATGAGTTTTAAAAAGCCAAGCAAGTGCAATGCCATGGAAACCAAAATATGTAAGAACTTGAAGAAGTGAGTGGAAAACAGTTGCACTGTTTAAGATTTCGAGATCCTGAAGATTTCAAAAAGTAGAACTAATAAAAAGATGATTGCATTTGTGATTAGATTATTGGAGAGTCAATAATTAAAATTGCTATTACCATTATACAAGAACTGATTGCATCTTTTTTTTTAATTCTAGGATGATGGCATAATTCACATTTGAGAGAAAGCTCTATATTTAAAGAATTACTTCGATAATCTTTTTGTGTATCTGTGAGAACAAAAAGCCCATTTCTGCCTTTAAAAGAGGGTTTGAAAAACAAAGAATGAAATTGCTCTGTACCAAAGATGGAAAAAATACTGTAGAAAGAGAAGATAAAGAGGCATGGAATAAAAGAAATAATCAGGCATGGGAGAATGAGCCAGGAAGGAAGGAAAGAAGAGATGTAGTGCCAAGGTAGGGGTCCTGAGAAAAGAGGAAGCTCACCTCCTATTATCAGAAATGACTAGTGAGGGGCACCTGGGTGGCTCAGTCAGTTAACATTGAACTTTTGGATTTCAGCTCAGGTCATAATCTCAGAGCATAAGATTAAGCCCTGTATCAGGCTTCCCACTCAACACAGTCTGCTTGAGATTCTCTCTCCTGCTCCCTCTGCCCTTCCCCCTGCTCATGCACACACACTCTCTTCCTTTCTCTCTCTCTCAAATAAATAAATCTTAAAAAAAAGAAGAAATGATTATTGAGACTGTAATCTCTAAACTTAAATTTAAATTAATGTCCACGTGGTACTTACTGTCTTACTGCCAACCTTGGAAAAAGTCTGCCCTTACACAAGACCATTACTGCCAGTTATTCATAAGGGAATGAAGAAATCAGGGTGGTGTTCACCATGGGGGAGACTGGGCCAGCAAGAGGAAAGGAATCTCTAGGTATGGCAAGTGATGTTTAAGAAGGAAATGGCTAAGTGGGCCAATCAAGATTTCTATCCCCCTCAAGTCTGTAGGAACATCAAGGATATTTTCATCCTGGGACGAGGTGGAGTCTCAAGTCACCATATTTGGATATTACAAGGAAGGATGATCTTTGGAATCTAAAGAAGCAGATGACTCTTGGGCTATAAGAGTTTCACAATTTGTGGGGGGTTTTCTGTAACCAAAATTGGAAACAACTGCTTGAACTGACCCCAAAGCAAGCACTCATGTTTTCCTTGGTGTCACTGAAGGCATTTCATGGAACTCAACCCTGCTTAAAATGGTCTTGCTATGCTTCCTGAATCCCATCAGTTGCAGATTAATTATTCCACGTTAGTATAAAAATGACTGCCTTTCCTTTTAGAAGCTATCTGAGGTTATCTGAAAATTTCTAAGAGAGGAAAGAGGGGAAAGAGAAGAGAAGCCTGGAGGTACAAGCCCTGCCCAAGGCGGGAGAAGATATTGGGGTCTATTAATTGGCACTAATGTCCTGGGTGCTGAAAGTTGTGGGGCAGAGCAAAAGGAGGCAAAAGTGGTAGTGCCCAAAATAATTTCACTTATGCAGAATCTCTGCTTCGAGCCAGATTTGTCTCAAACTATTTCCTAATCTTTTCTTTTGGTGTGTGTACCATTTCTGCCACTCCACCCTTTATTCTTCCAAGGATATCTTCTATTATTTGTTTTAGCCACCCCTCCCCACCCCTTTTGTTCTTTATCTGGATGTGAAAAGAAGCAGGAAAAGGGTTACATTTAAACCATAGGAGGGGAAGGTGAGACCGAGAGTGTGAGTCATCAGCCACTCAGCACTATGATGCCTCAATCCTAGAAACTGTCCCCATTTTCCCTGGATTTTGGCTCACATCTCTGGTTCATAGACAATCTATCCATGTAGAGCCAACTCCTCAGTAATGCTGCAGAGGAGGGGCTCTGAGACTCATCCAAGGAGAGGGGCACCTTGTCTCAGTTTAATTTCTCACCTCAGCTATTGATTTGTTCTGAATAAGGCCTATAGGATCAGAAAGGCAATCACTTACTCTCTCCCAAAGCAGCTCTTTCAGCTACAGCAATAAGTCGGAGGCCTCATCTTTAGTTTCGATGATTATTAACATCTCTCTAGTTTTCTATGTTGGTCTGAAGCCTCTCTGTGGAGGAAAAGAGGTTAAAAAATTATAAGCAGTGACAAAGCTACTGCTTAGAACAGGTGTGAGCAAATCACAACCTACAGCCCAAATCTGCCCTGTTGTCTCTTTTTTAAAGTTTAATTGGAACACAGAGAAGCTAATTCATTTACACACTGTGTATGGCTGACTTCACACCACGACAGCGGAATCGAGTGGTTGCAAAGGAGATCATATGGCCTTTAAAATAAAATATATATATATATTAACTATCGAAACCTTTCTAGAAAAAGCTTCCCAGCTCAGGACTGTGGCATTACCTCTGCTGGTTATAGCCTCCTTAAATGTGTATAGTCCATCAATCATGCTTAACTGGTTTAGTGCTGCAAGAATCTGAATAGCACGGGAACTAGCTGAAGCTTGGAGTTAAAATAAATATTTGAAGTATCCTTACACTTGCATGTGACACAGTCAGCACAGTGATCCTCTCACTCCCCTTGACCATTCTGAACAGAGCACAGGGCTTCCAAAAGTGTACGGATCTTTAGTGGAGCACATTCTAAACATTTCATGAGCTCTTCAAAGGTTTTCAACTATTATTTAATAAGCTTGAAGCAACACACTGTTATCACGAGAAAGGATTATAGTTTATGAATAGTGCAGCAATGCAAAAGGTGTAAGTCACATCTGCACTATGAGAGGTATTTACAACACAACCCTCACTGGCCCCCAAATTTCAAAACCTTTTAAACAACTTTAGCTTAGTGTGCATTTCCAGTGCATTGTCAACTGAAGACCAATGTTCATGAGTACTTTAAAACATATCAGTTAGAAAAAAATTCAAACTCTTTTTAAAGGTGTTTAGTTTGGAACACCTGGGTGGCTCAGTGGTTAAGCATCTGCCTTTGGCTCAGGGAGTGATCCTGGGGTCCTGGGATCGAGTCCCACGTTGGGCTCCCTGCACAGAGTCTGCTTCTCCCTCTGCTTATGTCTCACCTCTCTGTCTGTGTCTCTGTGTGTGTCTCTCATAAATAAGTAAGTAAATAAATAAATAAATAAATAAATCTTTTTTTTTTAAAGATAAAGATTTTTAGCTTAAATATAGTTAACATATACTGGTTTCAGATGTCTAATGTAGTGATTCAACAATTCTATAGATTATAAAATGCTCACTGTGTTAAACTTAGTTGCCATCTGTCACCTTACAAAATTATTATATTATTGACTATTCCCAATACTGTACTTTTCATCTCTGGGATTTATTTATTTTATAACTTACTATTTATAAAATCATAAAATTAGTATTAATACAGCATTTTAATAATATCCATAATTATACTTGGGAGTGTCAGACTTTCTTATTCATTTAATATTTTCTATAAGCAGTTCCCTTGACTACCATCTCTGAAACCTTCCCACGAAGTAGAAAAGAGTTACATTCTTAAAAATAGCATTCTTCTTTTACAGAAAATATCAATGCTGTAAGCTCTAAGTTTTACAAAGCAGAAATTGGTTGGAATAATTTGAGTACAAAAGAAATAAAATTTGTAAAATAGTTCCAAATTCCACTGAGCAGAAATCTCTGCCTGTGCATATGAAATTTTAATACCAAGACTTTACTCGAGATAGGCACTGCTGTGTCTGGCTTAATTCTTTAAGTCATATTTTTTTTCCTGTTTCTAAAGGCTGTTGCAGACTAACACTAATGTTTGTAAGCACATTGTTTGTGATTTCTGCACTGATGTAACAAACATATTGTTAGGCTGAAACATCCAGAATTGCTTAGAATTCTAAGAAGCTAATTTAAAAATAATTTACAGAAATGATTCTAAGTTTAGAGACCATTCAACCTTTAGCTCGATATGTCTCACAGATCTAAATTTAGCAAACTATAAAACAGCAGTTCTCACCGGTTCCAAAGATGATCTAGTCCAGAGTTGGCTATCTTTCCAAGGTGATATGCCAAATCTTAATGTGTTCATTCTTGGCTTTAGGAGAGTCTTGTTATTATGGTTTGAGGGGGATTTTCTGTGTTTAAGAACTCTCTTTCAACTAGCGCAAAGCAGCTTGGTGTTGATTTGCAAAGTCCTTCTACATATTTTATCTCGTTCATTCTTGAGAAGAGGCCACACAGGCAAGCCGTGCCTATCTCCACTCAAGTCTGGGTAGTCAAGCAGTTGGACCTGCTGCAAAGTCAGGCCCACAAAGTAGACTCACAGCAAGGAAGAAAGACAAACTTCATAACAATATAAATACCAGGAAATGTAGTGAAAGAGAAGACTCAGTAAATAGTGGGGAATCAGGGAACCCTTGGAAATTGAGGGGCAGAAACAAAGTTGATAACCAAAAGTCTTGGAAAAGGGTCAGCACTCAGAAAGTTACACACAGCATGTACACATCACAGCATGTACGCGTGCACCCTGGAGAAGGCCATGTGCTTGCCTGCCATCTCTGCAAGCTAGGAAAAGACACAGAAGGATTTTCCTATACAGGTTTCAGAGAAAATTTGACGCTGCTAACACCTAGATTCGACACTTCTAGGCCCTAGAACTTTGAGACACTAAACTCGTTTGTGTTAAGCAAACAAACAAAACAAAAACAGAATTGGGAGAACAAAGGAAAGCAGCCGAAAAACAGATTCTTCTACTTATTTGTCAAGCTTTCTCTTTTATTTTATTTTTATTTTAACTTAATTTTCTATTTTATTACATTTTATTTTATTTCAGACACTCTGCTAAGTACTGGGAATGCATCAATATCATACTATCTTGGCTCTTTACAATTTCATAATATTGTAGGAAAGATAGATTACCCAGGAATCACCTTGCAATGTTATAAATCAGAGAGGAAAAGCCATATACAGAGTTCTGTGGAAGCACAGAGAAGAAATGATACAAGAACACAGTGACAAGGGATAGTCCTGGTAACCGCTTCACAACCAGAAGCTTTCACATTGGTCTATGAATGTGGAGATTGTGGCTGGACTGAAGTTTGTAGAGCAGAACAGTGGGGAGCTCTTGGCTGGTTTGTGGATGAAGGATGCAGATGGGACATTTAACAGTAACCAGTTACTAACCAGCTGTGACAGAATGAGTTAGGATCACACAGAGGTGACTCTGGGAAATTATGCTGCCAGGAGGGAGGAATGGAGGAGGTCTGATCAATGATGTAAGAAAGACCCAGAGAAGGACTCTCCCCACTTCACAATTTTGCATCAGATCAATCCTGGTGAGAATTAACTAGGGTGATCATATGATGCATGGACCACACCAGGTATTGACAGTCAAATGAAGCTCTATCAGTAATTATCCACGGCAACCGGGACGAATGGTGATCTTATATCTCATCTGTGGGAATGTGACTGCACCTGCTTTCTGAGCCTCCACTTAAATGGGATATTAATCTCTACCACAGAGTTGTAGAGAGTTTTTTGTTTAATTAAACAACAAGAAAGCAAGCTAGGTGAAATTCCTGATCTGCTGTAGACAACACATATTATTGATGAATCACTAATCTAAAAAATCCAGGGTCTGTCCCAATTCCAATTTGGGTCTTATGTCATCAATACACACTCCTCAACTGAAAGCAGAGACCACACGAGTAATCAAGACCTTTAGAAGTTTGGGAAAGAACTTGAGGACTGTACTGTGTGAGGCCATTCTTCAGGCTTTTCAGTCTGCCAAGGAGGCCGAACATACCATCAGTTTCTGCAATGGTCACAGAACACTGCAGGCTCTGCCTTGGAATCAGAGGTCATCCTAAGGGAGGTATCTCAGATGCAAAGCCAGACAACAGCAGACGCCCTGGGGAATAGCTTTATGTTTGAATGAAACACCAAAAGCAATTTGTAAGTTCTTGGGTCTGAACATTATAGGCGATCCCTTTGCCCATGTCATCTTTTCCTCCGTCTGTGCTGAGTGTATATCATGGCTGTCTGGACATAGGAGAGCAACTCTTCCAACTGACCAGATCTCATGTGTGCTTCTCTCTCATTTTATTAGAGCTGCCAAGTAAATACTGCAAAATCATAGCAATAAGCAGGCAGGCAGCTCAGCAAAGCTAGGGGAGAACATTATCTTCGCTTCTGTAGGTTACAATCAGGTACTTGCGGGGTCTTCTATACACAAGTGGAAAAATGCATGTCCATCTCCTTTACAATTTGATGTAGGTTTTGCAGAGCTCATTTTACAATATGGCTCAAGGCTAAAGGCACAATGTTGGGGAGAATACAACAATTAGTGATTGTCTCGATCTATGATGGTACTAAAAATCCATACTTGCAACACAGATGTATCTACAGTGATTTATACACTGCTTTTCTCACTGTATATATATAGGTTATATAATATATATTAATATAATATATATAATATAATATATATATTATATATATACACATATTATAGGTTCTGCTACTGAGTATCTTTTGACCTGGATCACACAGTGTGTCTGCTTTGCTTCTGCCTAATGGAAACAATATTTTTTTCTAGGCTCTAGAACATGTGGTATACAGAGAACATGCTTTAGAAACAAAGCAAATGTACATGAATAAAACATAGTAATGAAGGAGAAGAGAAACAATTTTCAAGTCTTATTTCTTCAATTAAATAGCTATATGACCCTGGCATGTTACCTTATTTCTCTAAGCCTTGTATTTCCTATTTATAAAATAGTGATATCTATAAAATAGAGATAAAGTTCTAGTGTCCTAGGATTCTATCATCTGAAAGTCACATGCCTCAGATAAGCAGAGTTGTGGGCTAGTGGTATGCACTGCCTATACCCTGCAGACATTTTTAAAAAGAAAAGAAAAAGAACATAGATCTGTATTCCTGAGATGACCAGTAGACCTTTGGGGAGCAGATTTCCTCTCTTAATGGAACAAAATGTTTTTTTCTTTTCCTTTTTGTGAGGTTCAGAAAGATGCCATGTGCCTCTCTTGGGTGAGCATTTATTTTCCAGAATTAGAATTGATTTCAATGAAATGAAACATTTATCACAAGTGATAAAACACAAATGTATTT